CGCCGCGTCTGTGAACATAATCGTTCTTCGGGAATGTTACGTTATTCATTTTGTTACGAGATATGTAATCGTGCAAAGCTGAGAGGAGGGTCGATTCGCATATAAATCCTTGAACAGAATTTCACGTACATTTCTAACATTAATAAAGAGTATAGTGATGTAAAAAGAGAAATTATACAATATTTAAGAACAAAAAATTTGCAAACAGATTCTATTCTTTGTCTAATGATTTGATTGGATTAAATTAAATTAAATTAAATTTGTTTGAATTAATTCAAACGAAATAAACATAAACTATATGTTTCTGCGCATTTACCACAAAGAATATGAATCATCTTATTGACGAAAAATATTTCGATTTGTTTAACATCTTGTTATATCATTTATCTACGAAACTCAGCAGTAGAAAGACAAAACTTTTGATGCCGAAAGTGAGACATAAAACATGACTCGATTCTAGAGGGGTTAAAGACGGAACATTTTAAATCGGCTTAACGGGTCAATGAAGTCGGAAAGCACGATCCAGGAAAACGAGGTCAAGGGATGAATCGAAAGAAAGAAGGGCTCGCCGGCGAGTCGAGGGCGTATTTGTTCGAGGTATTTAATTCTAGAATAAATCTCCGTTTTCTCGACTGCTTCTCTCTCTTTTTCTACTTCAAGAGAAACAAAGAAAGAAGGCCGAGATCCAGAAAGAAATGGCTAACTGTGCCGGATATCATAATTCTTCTCGAGATGGCGAAAGTTGGCATATTCTGAAATTTCGCTGACCGCTTCTCATAAACGAAAGTGGAAGTTATCGCGATAAGACAGACACATTGTGTCAGAATCAGAAAAATGATTGGAACGAATTAGGCAACAGCTGTAAATTTCTTATCGATCTTATCGGTCATGTGTGTAATTCAATAGATATGTATCTTTTATTTCGGCAGGTATAATACCTTTGACATTTTGCTAAATGTTATCAAACTCGCGCATGATTTTGTCCTGTATTATAGCATATTATGTTAGTCAAATGTCAATCATAATTCAAAAATATGTAATTAATATGTTCATGTCTAGATAAGAAATAATAGAAAGAAGATAATCATTAAAAATAATCATTTATTAAATATTACTACACGTGTATTAAAATTTTTGTTCATCGGAATCAAATCGGTTGCGTGAAATGAAAAGTAATTTATATGAACGTAAAAAAGTAATTTATAAAAATCATGGGTGTATTTTCTTTTCCCTCGGCAACTTTATTATAAGGGAATAAATTCAGAATCCGATCGATATGAGCGGGGGGACGGTTTAAGTCGAGTTTTGAACTGATTAAGACAAGAGTTTATGAGCGATTTCGTTAGTCTTATTCCAGGTTAACAAGGTAGGGTAGGCAAGAACGCGTTTGCGGCATCCTGGTCGTCATTTAAGTCGCGGCTTAACTCTGCTTAAGGCATTATTCTCCGTCTCTCTTCTCCCTCTCTCTTTCTCTTTCTCTTGCTCAGACTTTGCTCTCTTCTTTATACTTCCGCTTCGTTCCGTTGTCTGGTCGCGCGGCTTTTAATCGAGCGCCAGCGAATTATCTTGGCGTCGAATCTACGGTCAGCCTGAAAACCACCAGTAAACTTCGGACCTTTGTGTGTTTAGTCCACGCGATTCAGGTGCTCTGTTTTACAAACTTGTAATCCAAGCACGTTCGCTGCTTCTCTTTAATATCAACGTAATAATGATAGACATATAAAATGAGAATTTGATATTTTAAGCCTAAGAAAAAAACTCGTTACAATTCATTGATAACTCATTTTGTCGAAATATATTATATCTTACTCTTCTAGTTCCAGTTTCATCTCGTGCATACGTGATAAATAAATAAATCTGGATAAATAGATAATGAGATTTTCTGAGGTAACAATAGTATATTATTAATTCGCACATGTGAAATTTATGCAATTTTAAAATTTTTTCATATTGATGTTTGAATAAGTAGATAAATAATTTATTCTGTTCGGAAACACAACAGCATTAATGTTGTAGATATTATTGATTAGAGTACTCTTATAATCAATTATTATACATCATATATAATTTAACCAATATACATTTGTGCCTCTCCTCAGGTCGGTGAATAATATGTTCGTGATCGAGAAGTAGGCCAATCATGAATGATATTTCTGTAGGAACGTTTCGAGTGCGGATTTCGCCGATGATCGATTACTTCCCGCGGTATTTACGAAGATTGCTTACCACGTGCGCCACATAATTTCGCAGTAGAGAAGAAGAAAGAGACAGAGAGAAAGAGAAAGAACGAGAGTGCCATTTGTCGCGGATCTTATCGGGAGGAGAGAGAAGGGTGGCCTTTTCGTTTTAAAGCGACTCGAGCGTAAATGCGCCCTCGGCCGAAACCCCCGAAACGCGCGTCGGGGCCACTGCTTTAGTCTGGATATTTATTACCCTACAGTGTAGCCTTATCGAGTGGCCCGGCCATGCTTGAAATCGTGAGAATTCCAGCTAAACCGTCCCTCCGCCGCCCACATACACCTCCCCTGGCCCATCTCTCTCCTCCCCACGTGCGGCGCACAACATCAGCGGTACGATCGTGTATGTACGTACGAGCGTGTGCTCGGTAACGGGACAGAATGTAATGGAGAACGGGACGGGAATGGAATGAGATGGAAGCGACGGGACAGATCGCGGGAGGAGGGCGCGAGGGGGTCTTTGACTGGCGCACGAAGGGGACCAAACCGGCAGCCCTTCAGGTTGCTTGGCTAGGGTGCGCGATATTGATTCCCACCTAGCCATTTCCATCGAGCGTGGTAGAGGCTCGGTTATGCTCGCGAAGTCAATGGGCACGATTCCGGTGCTCCAAAGGAAGTCCAGAATTTTTACCCATGATGATAATGATTCGATGATGCTTAATCTTCTTGCGTAAGAAATCGTTGAGATTCTATATTTGCTCTTTTTCTTGTGATATTTCTTACATCTTTGATTAAATCTTTTTCCTTTTCTGGATAATTTTTAGAGAAATTTTTCTTTATTTTTTTTACACACACACATATATATATATTATAGCTTAATATTTTATTATCAGAATATTTATATTTTATTATCTTAAATATTTAAATTATCAAAATTATTATATATATAAACATATATTTAAAACTAATCTACATTTGGAAGCTTTGCATGGATCAAACGATTAATTCGACTTGTTTTCAATATTTCTGTAGAATTTTCTGTAAAATCTTTTTAAAGATGATTTGCAATTTTGCATTATTCTAACTTTATTCTAATAATTTATAAATTATAATATGAATTACACACACATACCTAAAATAATGAATTATAAACATTTGATAATAAAAATGAGATCATAAACTTTAAAGGAATCAGAAACGCGAGGTGTTTGATGCAACACATAAATACATAAAAAGAGTATAAAAAAGCTAATTAGCAAAGTTTAAAACATAAGAGTTCTAATGTTCATTTTTTTTTTTACTTTTTGTGTTTTCACAAGAAAGTTTGACGAAAGCCTGGCTAATTCTTTTACAATCTCTTATAATTTTTTTACGATAACGTCGTCTTGATAACGATTATTAATTCCGGCAACAGATAAAAATGAAGCGCGATTACGACTGTTTGTTGTTTCGAGTATTATACGATACGTGAAATCCGATCTTGCATCGTAATTATATTTGTGCTTTGCCGTCTCACTTCATCTGATTGTTGCGAGCGTAAGCGATAGTCGGGACCTTCCTTGTTGGTCCATGCTTAATGATGTTGGTGCGTGTCTTCGACACGACGGTGCATGCCGCCAGCACGTACATACGGCTTCCCGTTATATATGTTTACAGCTTTCCGATATCTAACTTCTGCGCCCCTTTTTCCACGTCTCAATGAGTCACGATGCGAGATCGCTACACCTTCGAAAACCTTCGAACCGAACCATCCATCGCTTCCCTCTCTCTCTCTCTCTCTCTCTCTTTCTTGGCCGGCTCGATCGATAGCGATCTATATTATAGGCGAATGGCTGCCTCGAGTAGAGTATGACGGGGATCTTCGACGCTCCACCGATCGCTGAAGAGGCTATTTGCCTCGCGGCGAACGGTGGTGGTAATAACGGCGTGCAGCCCTATTATGATAACCGAAACTCCCATCGGAACTACTACTAACGCGCGATATAGCTCACCTTCACCCCGAAAGTCGCCCCTCAAACAAAAAGCAGTTATCGGTTAAAGTCAAGAACGTCGAGTCGTCCATTCACGCAATAATGGACAGATCTTTCTGCGATATCTTTATACCTATATTACACATATTTATACATACATACATATATATTTAATAAGCGGAAATGAATGATTATTTCATCTCCATCGATACTTGAAGAATCCAGTCGAAAAATGTTCTATTCATCGAATATAGTTCAGCTTCTTTTGTCACCTTTGTCCTTCTCTCGATAGATTACGATAAGAAATGATCTTATCTTTCACAATGCCATTCGATTAATAATGCTCGGTTGAGATCGAAGACGAAGGAGATGGCAAAGGGGGGAATATACGCCTGCTCTCTTCTCGTAACAGACAAATACAAGACAATGAAGATTAATGCTTCGGCCTGGTTCTCCTCCGCTCCCGGCATGTTCTTCGGGTCGATGGCATCGTGTGAACGATTCGGTAATCCCCAGAGAGAGGTGCCCCTTCGGGTTCGACTTTGGAGCTTTGCGATCGTATAACCCTGACCCTAAATCTGCCGTGGTCGAATCTTTTCAATAATTCAACGTATATCATGATTTTGTTTTTGATTGCAAATTCTGATATGATTTCGAATAATACTTGCAAATGTTTGCATTATTATTCTTGTAAAACGACGAAAAAGAAATATTTATTTTTAGAATTAATTATGTTCGATAAATGGATATCACGACTTTTATATCTATTTATCAAACGATTTATATAAACATTTATTACATATTCACGCTAATTCGGCTGAGGTTTTAATTCATACTTCTCTTGTTATTGTAGATTAGCAGTCGGCGTGACATGGATGTGAGCTTCACGAACGTGTTAGAGGGGGCTCGCCAGTACTTCCAGGGATTGCCCGTACCGAGTACAGGTGATGGCGCGGCCACGTCAGTGGACCTCCACGCGACATCCTCTACGAATTCTGCCTCGTCCACATCGACGACGACGAACGATCATGATGCATCGTCGCAGCCGACTCAGTCAATCTCGACTTCCGTCAATAGTAGCAGCGGTAGCAACGTCCAGGAGTCGAATCGTTACTCCACTGACGTCAGACCGACGTTGTCGGTGGAGAGCAGCAGTACTGCTTCCGGTTCTAGTTTCTGGAATCCGCACGTGGAACCTTATCCGCCGCAGCCGACCAAGGTTGAAGTCCCAGACACGAGACCAGGCGATGAAAGCTCCGCCATGGAGCCCAGCTCCTCTTCGGGCACTGTTACTTTAACCGAAATGCAACCTTCTAATCACCAATCCTCTTCCTCTTCCCCCGCCGTTGCCTCCATCGCATCGTCAACGAACTTCTCGCAGAGATCACCGCCAATATCGTCATCGTCTTTGTCGTCCACCCCATCCTCCAGCGATCACAATCATCATCACCAGATACATACTTCGACCGCAAACTTGTCGTCACACTTGCATCAGATGCAACCGCCTCAGCCATCACATTCCCCAGGACCGGTGTATCAGCAACTCAATAACGTTAGCAGGTCATCTTTCAACACGGCGGAGATGCTTGCCTCTTCTTCGTCACACTCCGTTTCGACTTATCAGGCCGTGAGCAACAATGATCGGCAGTCGCAGCCAATCGTCGTGCAGAGAGCTCAATATTATCCGCGCTATCATCATCCGGACATCACAAAATGCGCACCGGCTCCATACTCGCAGAGTTCCATTTATCAGTCCGCTAATGTAGCGCAGCCTTCGAGCACAGTTCAACAACCGAGCACGAGGCCGACACCGATGGAGCAGAACAATATGTCGTCATCCGGAATCGTCGCTCAAGGACATTGTCCGCCGGAACAGCAACGAGTACCCGGTACTTACGGCAACAATATGCCGTCTGTTCAGAATCCTCTCGGCGGATCTACTGTATACGGATCCAGCTCCTCTTCCTCCTCCTCTTCCTCTCAGAATTACCGTTCCGCGAGCCAATATCAACAACAAGCCCACCGTCTGGCAACCGCTTCCACTTCGAGCCTCAATGACAGATCGCATAGCTCGGACGGGCCGCATTCTTCCACCGTTCCTTTCTCTTCGTCGTCGGCGATTAGCCCGCGTCAGCCCGCTGCAGGCAATTCCTCCTCCAGTCACATTCCTTCGCAGTCGCAATCACAGAATCTTCCGGGGCACATTCCGTCGCCGTCCGCCGCCTCTTCGGTGCACCATCAACAACAACAGCAGCAGCAACAGCAGCAGTCGTCTCTACAACAGCAACATCCTAGTCGTATAAACGTGTCACCACACTCACACGGTTCCTCATACGGAAGTCGCGTGCTACCGCCGCCCTCGCACGGCGTCCCCACGTCGACCTCTTCCGCCGCGGCGGCGAATCATTCGCAGCAACATATGCCACCACCGAGCGGCTACCACGCGGGAACAACGCCGTCGCCGCATCATGAGATGCCGTCGCACCACGCCACGCCGTCGCCGCATCATGCGACTCCGTCGCCACAACGGCAATCGCCCCACGTGTCCAATCTACACAATCCGCATGCATCTCCATCTCCTCATCATACACCTTCTCCGCACAACAGCTTTCAGCCGCACTCGCCGACTTATCCGCCACCACCGCCGTTGCCGCCACCGCCGGCTTCGTCTAGGTCGACGCCACATTCGTACAACTTGCCATCGGTCACCTCTCAGCATTATCAGACGAATTACGCGGCGACTCGTGAAACGGCAATGGCGTTGCCTTATGCACCGCCGCCATCGTCTCAATCTTCGTACCATTCCTTCCAGAAGAGCTCGCAATCGGAGTCTCAAGGGAGTAATTATTATTCTCAGTCCGGCCGATCTCACAATCAGTCGTATGGTATGCAGCAGATGCTGGTACCACCACAAACGGTATTTCCCGGCACACCTAGTAGCAACAATCTAGGTAGCTATCAGCAGAGCGGCAGCAAACATGCTACATATAATGGTGCAGAGATTGCGAAGAGGAGTGCGATAGATGTTGCGACACCTTACGCTACGCATCGTTCATCCGCGCAAAGGAACAGTAACACGCACAATCTCCCACCTATCGCCGCTCTCTCATCCTATCATTCCAACAGGCGAGAATTTTTGGGAAAATCAGCACAGTCAATGGTGCAACGACAACGAATACACTCGACGAATGTTAACAGCAAAGTGCCCGCCGCAATGCCACCGACGACACCCTCGTCGATGGCAATGCCCGCGCAGAGACTCGCCGAGTATCCGATGACTCCGGCCTCGGTAATGAACCACGCGATACCGGTGAATGGCAGGACGACCACTGTGACGAATATGACGTACGGTACTCGATATAGCGGTCAACAAGGCTATCTCTCGTCGTCGTATGCCACTACGCTTGCGCCCAGTCATCATGGCAGCAACTCCACCGGCAGTACCACAGTGACTTCTATCAGTCATGGCGGCATTGGCAGTGCGAGATCTTCCGTTTCAACGATTCACACGTATCAGTCTTCCGACGAGTCGGATCGAACAGCAGGATCGTCGTCCCATCATCATCATCAACATCATCATCATCATCATCAGTCATCAACGCGAGTGACAACCGAAAATTATGGTTATAAAGAGTATCCCCCTTATCAAAATCCGGCATCGTCTAGTGGTAGTCAAACTGCTCCCGCCGCTGCTATGGCGACTTCTCCATCGCCGAGCAGCATAGTTCGGAAGAGAGAGTCGCCTCTGGATTTATCCGTAAAAACAGTTAAGACATCGGCCGATTCTACGGCGCAGGATGATCTCGAAACCACCAGTACTGACAAACATGTCAGTAGCTCGAACTTAAGTACCGCCAGGAGTAATGTGAATAGATCTATGCCACCTCCACCTGCTGTGCATCAGTCGACACCAGCTCAGCCGTCATATCCTTCGTCGTATGACTCTAGACCCTCGAGTAATAGTTCGAGAAATTCCATGCCCGTAACCTCTATCCGAGCATCGACACCGCAGACGGTGTGTGCACCCAAGGTCGATTTCTTGCCGGATTTCAACTCGACGCCGCTACGACATCAATCGCACCACGAGAATCCTCTTCGTAGGAGCACCACGCAGCTGTACGTTCCGCCCGCTCAGCCTCTCTCGTCTCATCATGCGAACAATACGGCACCACTGCCTCACATGTCCACATTCGTCAAGAAACGTCCACTGCCCACATCACTGTATGACGGTCTGACGATACCGCCGCCTTCGTCATCGTCATCCGCGTCGTCTGCATCGTATCTCCAAACAAATGATTCCATGTCCTCGAGATTTTCTAAGTATTCCTCGATGATGGACCCGTCGTCACGGGTCGGTGCACCTACACTGCCCGCGCAGGATTATACACCCGATCCCAACAAGTATTATTTAGGCGATAGCAAGGCCAAATTTGATCAGCAATTCTCTCAGCGTGAACGCATGCCATTCAAAAGGTCTGGAGAAGCGATCTATGGTGTAGGAAGTCCGAGCAAGCAGCCTAGGGTTTCTTGGCGAGTACCGAGTACCGACAAGCAAATAGCTGAACCGAAGCTGTCGACTGCAAGCGTATTGAACGAACAGCAGAAACGACAAGAGATGAGCTTACCAGTTCCTTTACCAAACGGAACTCTTGTGACACCCGGCGTTTACGATCAGAGACCTGACAGTGGCGGTTATTCCGCGCCGGAATCATCTAGATATCAGCCGACTTACTGTGATAAGAAGACCTATCCGGAGTCCAAAGTTGTGCGGAGCTCGCCTTCGTCGTACAATCACCCGGTAATCTCGAAACCTAACGCGAACATGCACGTGTTGCCGCAACAGTTAAGCGGCGCTCAACCAATCTACTCAAATTACCGTCAAGCAGTTCAGAAGACGACATGTTCTTTGAGTGCAACGTCTGGTGGTCAGCCGATAGATCAACCTAGCAATACTGGTGCTGACAAAAGAGTACTAAGTTTGCTGAGAAACAGTCTGGAGAACAAACAGCAGAGGGATGAACAGCTCAATAGCCAGCAGCCCATTTTGGTTAACCATAGCCAGCAAAGTTTCCAAAATAAGGTAATTTTGAAATTTTATCTATGATAAAAAATTCTGAAAAAAAATTTAAATTTATATATCTCACGATTTCAGATTTAAATCTTCACATTTTTTGCTTTTTATTATCGTTTGAATTATCATTGATAATATATTGTTATTTATTAATCATTTCTTTTCATGCTAAAATCGAGGTCTTTTAAAATGAGATGATTAAATAAGACATAACGCGGTTTAAGTTCCTTTAGATGATATCTTCATTTACTCTCTCTAGGCATAATCGATTATTATTCACTTAACATCTCTGACGACAATCCTCGATGAAATTCCCTTAGGTTGTCGCGCCAGTCGAACCTAAAACGAACATCGGCAGACATAATCTGTCACCATTCACGGCGGCGAGTCTGCTAGAGCGCAACAGTAATACACCGCCGCATTACAAGCTCCACGTTCCACGAGCAGTAGACTCGATCACTCAAGAGGCACCGCGCAGCATGTACGCCTCGAGGGTGAACGCATCCGCCACGTTACCTGGCAAGGAGGCTTCCCTCGTGGGACCTCGCGGCGCCGAGATTCATCGTGACAAAGATGACGGCCTCGCCGCGATCTTAGCCGCGAAAATTAGGACGAAGGCAGAACTCAAACAAGTATTGTTTGCTATAATTGTTGTATGTATTATTGCGATTGCCGATAATCTAACGATCATTTTGTTTCTATTTAGGTCGGAATCGGGCAGTTTACAACGAAAGCACCTTCTCAGGATATATCGTCTACGCCGAAAGGTAATTATTGGGTAACTTATGTAAGACGCCACACACACATACACATACACAGTTGATAGTTATCAGTATTCATTTCCATTCGAGTATAATTCATATATATTTATATATATATATGTCCGCGATAATTACGTTTTTTTGTATTCAATCGCATCGATTGTGCTTTAATGTAAATGTTATCATCTTTGATAATTGGATTTATATTGCATGCACAGAGATTGATAACGCGGCCTCGACGTCGACACCGCAGTCCGGCTCATCCGCGGGTAGCCCACCGAAATTAACGCGCGAAAAAACAGTCTGTTTGCTGCCCAGAAGACGTTTATTCTCGAGAACTGATGACGACAATATTCCTGTAGCTGCAACCGTGCCTGCCGTCGTTACAGTCGCATCCACGGTACCGGCCAGAGCGAGCGGATGCAGAAGTTCATCCGAAACGTCGGTCTTCGATTTCCGGGAGAGCGATTCCGAAGGCGAGATGCCGGTTCTCGAGCGGCAAACTTTAGAGGAGATGAGGAGGGACAGAAAACAGTTATCCAAAGTGCAACCCCCGATTCCTCTCAATGATGCGGTGTGCATGAATATGGCATCCTCGACGGATCTTGTGAAGATAGAACTGAAGGTAATGTGATAGTATAGTAATAGTTAAAAAATTAAATTGAAAAAAGAAAAAATAAATTATTTAATTAATATAAAAGAAAAAAAAGAGACGCAGATTTTTCTCAATATTTTATATTTAATGCCTCTTATATTTATTAATATTTATATCTTATTAATATTTAATAATATGGTGATACGGTATATCTATATATTAATAATTAATATTACAAATAATATTTACAAGATGTACATACAATTTTTTTTCATGGTAACTCTTTATTAAATTTATATTTATAACGTGTAATATATTGTAAAATGTGTTTTTAAATTCTTTGTCTCTTTAAAGTATGGTACATTATTATATTTTTGTGCTCGCGGTGTAATTTTATTTTATGGATGTGATCATTGTTTGCAGGAAAACGACAAAATCAACGATATGGATCCATTTTGGAGTACCGCTTGTGATAAGTTTATGGAACAATTACGCGCTGGCGACGCCGCGAAGAAACGAGGTCGTAGGAAAAAATTGACGTCGAAGCTCGAGGACGCAGCTAACGACAGCGACAAGGAATCAGATATCAATGTAGCGCAGTCTTGCAAGTCTGAAGATATTAAGGAATCGCTAGAAACGAATAAGGAAGACAAAAACTCGATTCTTAAGGAAATTAAAATCAAGACAGAACCTGGATTGAAGAAGGATGATGATAAACACTCAGGCGACGATTCGGACGAAGTGCCGCTAATTAAAAGAAAAAAGGAGATAAAGAAAGAGGATAGTGATTGTGACGAGGAAGTGATATGCCAGAGTAGACGAGTTCGTCGTGGCAGTAGAATCAAACTTGAATCCTCCAGCGGTAGTGAATCTTCGAGCGAGGATAGTGATGCCAGCACTGAGTTCCATGGTTCTTCGGTGGCTGACAGACTTCGGGCTAGGAAACGAACTACGGCTAACATGTCCGAAGGTATGAAACTTCGTTCAAGGGATACTACTCCCCATAAGAAGACAGAAAAGGAATCCAAGTTGTCCACGCCTCCCAAAGGCGGGACTTCGCAAAAAGCAAAACCAAAACCGTTGTTTGGCGATGGCAGTGACTTCAGGCCTGGGTGGGAAGAAGAGGTTTATGTATATAAAAAGTCTCTAAGAATGCCACCTAGGTTAATAACGGTATCGAAGCCATCGCGTTTTCACCGTCTGTCCACGTCGTTGCCAGACTTAGATCCCGGTTCGCCGGCATTGTCCGTTTCGATGGACAGTTCCGATATGTGTCTCAGTCGTAATAAAAGATTGATAGACAGCGACATGGAATCCAATTACAGCTTCAGCATTACTGGACTTGGTAGCAAAATTGATGACGAGGAGGCAACTTCATCAACCACCGTTTCTTGTCCCCCGAAGGCTATGATGAAACATTTCCGATCAGAGAACAATTCCATTGTCGATGTTCTCGCGCAAAAAGTCGGAAGTGGCGGTGGCAATCAGAAGGACTCGAAGAAGAAGCAGAACTCAAAAAGTAGTAAGATTCTTAATAAAAGTAGTAACGAGCCAGAACTTTTGCCGACGCCGAGTCTCACACCGCTTGTCTCTGAGATATCAAAAAATTCTAAAAATAAAATCTCGTTGAAAAATAATAAAAGTCCGATTAAAGTCGCAAATTCCGTCCTTCTCGGTTATTTCCGCAAAGAGACGGTTAATAATTTCCGTGATGCATTTAAAAACAATCATGCGCTACCCAACGAGTTCTCTACTATGGTATTGAAAAGCAGAACAAGAATGGAGACAAAGGTCTTGAAGAAAGAGGCAACTATTCGCGAAGTATTCGGTGAAGATAGGCCCGCATCAGCTCCACCGATGCAAAATCACGATGACACATCTCAAGACGACGATTCACAAAACGAGATACCGGAAACCGTGTTGGGTAAAGTACGAACGTTAAAACAGAAAGTAGTATCCCGTTTGAGAAACGCCGGTATATTACGAAGTCACAAGGCGATTGCGAACTCGAAACGTCGTTTATTAACTGCCGAAAGGCGGAAGGATTTGCTCAAGTCGCTTGCAAATAAAAAACTACATCGTATCAAAACTGAAATAGAACATGAAGAGGCGAATGACGTTAGGGAAGAGGAGAACAATGACGAGGATGACAAGAACGATTTGGAAATTCGTAATAAAAAGAAGTTAAAGCTCCGACCTGGTCGACGGAAATTCCGCTCGGGATTTGATTACATACGTAAAAAGAAGAAACCACTGAAGAAGGATGAGGCATTGCCGAAGGAAAGGAAAAGAGTATGTGTATAAGATTCCTACTTAATATTTAATATTTTCTTTTAATTTTGATTTTTTATTAATTTTCATAATACGCGCACATTATGTTTACAATACTACTTTAAATGCAATATTTTACAGCAAAGTCAAGCTAACAAACCAAGTCCGGAGTGCGTAGCCGATATTCAATCTGAAATCAGGACGTGGGTTATCAAGAAAGGCGTTGGAGAAACTATACTACACCGCGCTGCTCGTCTTGGTTACACGGTAAGATAACGATCATATTGCTACACATAGTTGATCAATAATTTGCGCAAATAGTAATCTATAATTTGTTCATATTTTGTTGCAGGATGTGACTGCTTATTGTCTGGAGAAGCTCAATAGTACGCCGAGTCCCAAAGATAATGCGGGATATACGCCACTTCACGAGGCTTGTTCCAAAGGTCATCTGGAGATCGCAAAACTCTTGTTGGCTTATGGCGCAAATGTTAGCGAGAGTGCTAACGGTGGTATTAGGTAATATTTTCCGTCAACATTTTCGTAATTATTTTTCTCGAGTTAAATTTGTGAATAACTCGACAAACATATAAACGACTTATTACTCGTTAAACTCGTTTATTACGCGTAGAAAATGATATATATCTTCTTTCGTTGTTAGACCGCTTCATGAAGCAGTAGAGAATGGTGCTACGGAACTTGTACGGTTACTGCTGTCGTACGGTGCCGATCCATTATTGGCTACTTATTCCGGACAAACGCCGTTGATGTGGGCCGTTGACACTGAAACTAAGTCTATTCTAGAACAACATTTGGATGATATCCAAGGTCGTGTCACTGTGCCATGGTCATTCACTGGTCCAGCTTCTATTTTTGGTATGTAATGGTTAACATAAGTTTTTTTTACACGAAAATTTTCAAAAATTTCGTAAATTTCGTATATTATGTATTCTAAATGCATAGTTTTATTAATTTTCTATAAACATATTTTCAGATCCAGAAGAAACAGGTTACAATCCACTCGATAACGTTCCATCAGACAGTTCTGAGTTAATTGAGCTAAATGATGTTGAGATAGAAGTAAGCGACATTAATTTACCTGTCCTCTTCACCCTGAACAACGATCCCGACAAATGGGTGCTGCTTCAAGATCTCATGGCAATTTTGCGAATAAAGAGTCGCGATGCTCTTCTCCGTCAAATTAATCCGAAGGCTCACTCCGGGCCACCTGCAATTGCGCATCGCGATGTTATGCGCGAATTGAAGCTGCCGGATTTTCTGGAACAGACGCGCTGTTGTCATTTGCTGAGTGGTGGCGAAAGAATTAATGTGCGTGGTTCTAAAGTCACGCTCATCAAGTATAACGACAAGGTGAAATCCCTGTTAAACGTAGAAAAAGTGTTGATTAATCTCAGGTGACAGGAGGCATCTCTGGGGCAATTATCTCCCCAGATATCAAAACCATCAACCTCGATTCTAACCAAGGAACATCATAAGAAAGTCGAAGGTAAAGGTAGCACAATTACTACTGTAAAACGCCAACGGCAACAGGGAAAGAAGCGACAAGAAACACGTAATAAAAATTCTAGTGGTTGATTCTATAGCAAATCATATATCCAGACTTAACAATAATTGTGAGAGTCGTAATTCGAAAGCTAAGAGTTTCACTTGAATGTGGATGTTACAAAGAGCAAAAAATTCTAGTAAAAAACTTAGATATGTTAAAAAAAAGAAGAGGAGCAAGTTCCTGCAATATATCGCAAGAATCCTACAATAATAAAGATCGATGACTTTACGCGTTTATAAAAAAAACCTCGGATTTTTTTCGGTTTGTTTTATCCTTTAAACTGATTGATATTGATAATTGATTTTCTCTTTTCGATCTGTATTTTATGATACACAATATAATGAAATAAAGCTTAAATAAGGTAATAGAAAACATATAACGGTTCCGTTCCTATATTCGTCAACTAATCATTGATATCTGAATAAATAGACGGAGCATTAGCTATCCGTTAAGACAAGGGAGGGCTTTGATATTCACAGTAAGGAGGAACTCTATGAATTTCGATTGAATTCGGTTATTCCTGATCGGTTAATAATTCGACTCCAATCATTGACATCAAAGTTCAGCTTACATATATTGTGCGAAGTTATGTTGTGATTAATGTCATATTATATTTATATTATTTTTAAATATATATATATATATATATTCGCTGTATATATATATATATATATATATATATATATATATATATATATATATACATACAGCGTATCCCACCTAGAAGTGGCTACCCCCTTTAATCTTTTAAACTAAAAGAGATAGACCGTAACAAATATATATGAAATTAAATGGCTTAAACTGAACTTTATAGTGATTAATTACAAAATTTATCTGTGTTGAAGAACGGAGAGATATGCAGAAAATGAAATGAACGTCGCCCGCGATATTTCAAGCCGGAAAATCTCATATAATATGTAAAATATTTACATTAAATCATACATCGTTATATTCGTTTCAAACAGCGCTATAACTTTTATCATATCAAAATATCTACATTATTATAAAAAATTATACATATCTCTCCGTTCTTCAATACAGGTAAATTTTGTAATCAATCACTATACTTACGATAAAGTTCAGTTCAAGCCATTTAATTTCATATATATTTGTTACGGTCTATCTCTTTTAGTTTAAAAGATAAAAGGGGGTGGCCACTTCTAGGTGGGACACGCTTATATATATATATATATATATATATATATATATATATATATAATATATATGTATATTTTAAATATTAAATAATATATATACATAATATTTTATATTTACACACACATGTACACACATATATGTATATTTTATACATTATTTAGTATTATTATTTTTATATTTAGCGGCATTTTCTCTAAATAAACACTCTAAACATTTTTGTGAAAAAATCTAGTTGAAAATCGATGACGTCAAAAGAATCGTCATGTAATGTCAAATTGTGCCGAATATAGTTGAACAGAATATAGTTGACGGAATTAACCGAAGTTCATGCACTCTCCCCCCTTTCTGCATTTATCAGTTACCCCTCTCAAAAGGATCCGTCTATTTACTTAGATGTCAATGCAACTAATGAATTTGTCGATCTATATCTTAAAGTCTTTCGCGCGATATAAAAAAAAAGTTCTCGTTATTTGGATCTATGATGTGAAATCATAAATTTTGAAGCATATAACCACTGCAAATATGATAAACGGAATGATCTAATATCTAATGCGCAGCTAAGAGTATGGAGTTAACGGAAACAGCTACCTGTGACATTATATAACAGTATTTAATTGGAATATACGTAATATACGCATATATCCATGGAACGAGGATATTTTATTAATTATCTTAAGGACTGATTAAATAATCAGAAATTTGTTAATATAATGTGGGCTTTTAGGCAGATAAAAAAAGGAGGGAAATTTTCTTTAAGTGTCGATCACTTAAAGGTAAAGGAAAAAAGTTTTTCTAACAAGAACTTTTTTCAGAATGTCGAACCAAGAGAGAGTTTCTCTCTCGCAGAATAGTAATAATATAAAATAACGATATAACGTAAATAATAATAAATTATCTTAGGAATGCGAAAAAATACACAGCTATGTCGTATCAGATATATTTTTATCTTGCACATGGCTTTAAGAAGTTCTCTCTTTTTAAGGGACGACTTCACTCCGAGATTCATAAACACACTCGTGCACTGTGTGCGTGTTAGTTTTCCCCTTTGAGCTACAATTACAAAACGCATTGGTAGATTACGAAGATAAAAATTAAAAGGGCGTAATATAATCGAAATCTTTCATGCAGATGTCATGTTACCACATCATAGTCTCATTTTTGTTTTTTCTTATGTTGTGGCAGAATTATATATTATGTCGTGCGTTATATTTATGAAATATGTTAATCCTTGGGAATAGGTGCTTGAAAGATTGAATGAATTGAGTTGCAATTTATTAAATTCAGAATTAATATTTCATTTGTTGAAGAGACAAGTTGATACTGTACGTGTATATCTTGTTCCTTCTACTATATTTTTAGCTTCTCTAGCGTGTATATACATACATGCACGCACAAGGATTTCAATCTTTAATTTCTACAAGAAGTTATTCTTCTTTCGTATAGTTACAATAGAGCAATTAGTTATAATTCGAATGAAAGATGGACTCGGCGGGTGTTAATGGCTCAATTCTTATGACATGGGAAGTGCAATTCGCGAAATAATGTTTTCGTTTTGTTAATTGCCTAGGTGCATTGATCACGTATTGTTTTTAGGAATGTAGAGAAAATATAGGAAATTATTATCGAGAGTATGTTTCTCTCGGCCGAATGCTGTCGAGCAATGCTCACTGTGCAATAATGTATTCTTTTTTACATTTTGTCTTCGAGTCCCTTTTATTTTCGCGATGTGTCGGCATAATACTAATGCATCGTATCGGCGATTCCAGAAAACAACTCTAAAATAAAAAAAGAATTTCTTGTAGTAATAATATCCACGCGAGAAGATGCAATTAAATATAATAAGATACAATAAATCACGAGAAGGCTCAAATTGAAGATATTTAATAATAACAAAGTCGCATATTTTTTATCGTGATTAATCAGAAATATGAAATTCGGAGACAATTTGTACAGAGAAATAAGATAGAGAGAAAGAGAGAGAGAGAGAGCGCGAGAGCGAAAGCGAAAGCGAGAGCGAGAGCGAGTTTCGATCACCGAAACGACGCAGTGTTCGATTGAAGCAATTTAGAAAGGCGTATTTCAGGGGGAGATGAGTTATTTTAAATCTTGACAGAACCAGTTCGATCAATTGTACTTATCGTCTCGTGATGTTCCTGTACGTTAATGTTTGAACAGAAAACGAATACACATTTAGTATATGCGAATGTCACGAGACGAGATACGGAGAAGAGGAGGCGCGGAATAGTTCGGTTCGTAATGCTTAAGATATACCGTAATACGCCTTGTTTTTGGCGCCGCATAGCACAAATGTTTCAATCGTTATAATCAGTCTCAGGGAAAAATCCACGTGTATTCTTGAAAATAACTCGATGGTGTACCGATCACAGGCGACGTATTCGTATGTACGAGCGCAGCGCATCACTGTGCGTATATGTGTACAGTAGTTAGCTGAAAAGAAAAGATTCGCTCGTTATGCGAGAGACGATTAATTGTAATATCGAAATAATCTCGAGTGATACTAATTAATGCGATGCAACGTCGCGCGATCTGCGTACGCTCAGGCGGCTTCTTATAATTTTATTTAGCTGACGCAAATGAACAGAGAGAGAGAGAGAGAGAGAGAGAGAGAGAGAGAGAGAGAGAGAGAGAGAGAGAGAGAGAGAGAGAGAGAAAGAGAGAGAGGCGCAATTATATTACCAATTGTACATATACATACTGACATATTTTCAGTAAAGAGAACCATAAAAACGAAAATAGAAATATAAGAGAAAGGAGTGAAATGCGAAAGAATTACATTTCTGTCTAATGATAAGCAACAATGGTGTACGTATTGTACATATATATACACATGTAATCTTTTATTTCTAAGTAGTTAAAATGTAAGATGTAGACCACGATTTTTGTTTATATTAGTGCATTATTATTTGTGTATAATGTAAAGCAATTAACCGAAATAGTCACGTTGTATAACATGATAAAGTATGTATATATCTCATGTTGCGATTACTAGACTATTACTATTATTGCTACTATCACTACCGCGAATATCGCTACTACTCTATTACTACTACTATTATTCATTATTACTATTACTACTACTATTATTATTATCATCTACGACTACACGCTTTTTTATTGTACTATATATACATAGTAGTTAATGATGAATGTACATTTTCTTAGTCGTGTAATATTCACACAACGCCTCTCCCCCCATCGTCCCTCTTGTAATTTATATATTCAAGAAACTTCTAAATGTGTTAAAACGCTGCTGCTTTTATGCGGATAAAGAAACAGAAGTTATATATGAATATAAGTATAAAGATGAGTAAATATATAAATATAAAAATAAATATATATATATACAAATATATATTTTATTTCAGAGATTTAGTTCGAAACAACGTTGACGAACAAATTAGAGTCTTACTGTGATTCGTGTAAAAAGGAATTATCGTTATTATTGTCATTGCCGTAGTCGTTATAAGCGAGTCACCCGACGGACTCGACGAATGACTTTCTAATGAAAAAATATTTGTGATTTTTTTTGCTGATAACAATGAGTTATATCTTATCGATGTAATAAAAACAAGTATTTTTACCGAAATATTTTTAAATTTCTCTCCATGATTCTCCTCCAATCATTTCTAGCATAAAACTATAAACTTATAAGTAATCCCAACTTTTAATTTATAAATTTTACATTAGAGATTTGTGCTTCTCTAATAACGAAAGAATACTACTTATTAAGTTTTTAGCGCAAAATAGGTTTAAAGATATATAATATCTATTTTAAATTGCTTCTTTTAATTCGAATATCTATTAATTATAATAGTGCGCAATTGCTAATATAGTTTTACTAAAATATGTTTTAGGAAGAGCAGGAGAGGATCGGAGATGACAGATCACAGTAGTAAAATTGGTAAAACGTTTATTAACTATTTAAAAACGATGAAACAAGGTGAACATGAGATTGACAATTCAATAAGTAATATTATTAAATAGACTATAGAAGGTGTATAATAGGTGTCTGCGATAATTATTCTCTTTATATACGGTCTTTTACATCGAGACAGACATCACTCGACAACTCGACGAAGCCAGGCCTTCTATCCTTCAGGCACAAGCCGAAACTCGTCGCTCCATATCTCGTTCTATCTCGTATTGTAATGCGCGCTTAATTATAATAGTCTAGGACTCGCGGTAGGAAAAAATAGCCCGAAAGCATATCTGCGCGATATTATAGTTCCTCGCGAGTAAATGTTACTACGAAATAAGGGAGAAAAAAAGAACGATTCTATTCCGGGCAATCATCGCCTTGTGTCAGGGCCTTGCGACCTGCATACGCTAGCTATGCCATCATTGTTATCATTATCATCGTCGTCATCGTCATCTCTGTGATCGCGACTTGGCATATCCGTGCATCACGACAATGCAGCTAT